GGAGGCACACCAGGAAGGGGAGGGGACCACTATGGGGGTGGGTGGCGCACGAAGGGACAGGGAGAGGAGGGGAGTGATACCCTAAGGTACAGGAAAAGGAGGGAGGGGGGGAGAGGAACACTAAGCGACAGGGAACAGAGGGGGGAGGGGAGAGGAACACTAAGGCACAGGGAAAGGAGGGGGGAAGGGAAAGGAACACTGAGGAACAGGGAAAGGAGGAGAGAGGGGAGAGGAACAGTAAGGGTCAGAGAAGGGAGGGGACCATTAAGGGACAGGGAGAGGGGCTGGATGTAAAAGAAACACACAGCTGGGCTTGAGAAGGAAAGAGACACACAAAGGAGCTGGGAAGAATAAAAGACACAAAGGGGCTGGGAGAAAAGGAGTCACACAAAGGGGCTGGGAGGAGTAAGACACAAAATGTGGGAGGATGTAAGAGTCATACAAAGAGGAGAGATAGGAGACACACAAAGGCAAAAATAGGAGATAAAATACACTAAAGGGAGTCAGATATTTAAAAGACGGGATAAGAAACACAAAAGGGAGGTTAAGAGGCACATGGGCAAATATGTTTTTGGGGGGGGCGGAAAAATGCATCTTCGCCTATGTACCCAAAATTCTTTGCACCGGCCCTGTGTATGGGCGGGGACTATAGTCGGAGAAACTCCACAGTGAGAAGACGGAAATGGTATTCTAGTAGGAGTAGAATAAGCGGTCCTGAAAAAAAGATTGTAGATCTTGAAGATGATGGACAGAATGATGCAGATTAAGGACACATTTTTAAATAGTTCTTTTATTATTGTTTACTTTTTACTATTTTGTTTTGTTTTCCTTCTTTTGTTGAGAAAGGAAGGAGATGTGATGTATGGGCGGTAGGGCCGTGTATGAGTGTGTGAGTGTATGAGCGTATGTATTGTGATGTATGGGCATTGGGCAGTTGGGCTGTTGTTGGCTGTGAATGATGCACTTCCTTTCTTTTGGTTCTTTACTTCCTGTTCCTGTTGGCAGTTGGTGGAATGTTCGAGGGATTTGAAACCCTGTGTAACAAGGCTGCAATATGAAGATGCTGTTATATATGTATCAATAAAGTGAGTACTTCGTTATACAGGAATTATTGGCCGATTTGTACAAAACATCACAGTGACTATAGTGTCCATTTAACCTCTAGTTTAGAAAACTTGTCCTCAGGCAGATTTTAAGAAGAGGCATAGTATTTTACAAAGGCTTTGCCTATATGATGCGGGGAGAGATGGATTTTATCTTCATCAATAATTTCTTTATATCTTCCCTGTTCTATTATTGCTACTATACCAGCTTTGATTTAATGATGTAATCACCTTTCTTACTCCATCCTCAAGTGATAGATTAAGCTGGAGTAGAACTGCTCTAATTTGTTCGGAGATGAAAAATGTAGGATTGTTTATGCAACATTGTTCTGATTTCGACAACTGTGTATATAGATCAACTAGATTCGCTCCTCTAGCTTCTCTAATTCTGAACTCTAGCAGAATTCACAAACCGGACGTTATGTAGGACACGAGGTCATGCGTTTAGACTGGAAGAAAGAAAATTTAGTCTAAGGCAAAGGAACGGGATTTTTACCGTAAGAAGGATATGGAATTCTCTGCCTGATAAAGTGGTTTTATCAGAGTCCGTACAGATGTTTAAACAGCAACAAGCTGCATACTTGCAAAAACAGAATATTTAAGGATATCATTTTTCAACTGTAGGGTAATAGCTTCTTGATCCAAGGATAAATCTGACTGCCATTCTGGGGTCAAGAGGGAATTATTTTCCTAGTTTGTTGCAAAATTGAAAATGCTTAAAACTGTTTTTTTTTTGTTTTTGTTTTTGTCTTCTTTTGTATCAACAGCAAAAAACAGATGTGAGAAAGACTGAACTTGTTGGACACATGTCTCTTTTCAGCCTATGTAACTATGTAACTATACAATTTCCCCTTATGCCTCATTTACAAGTTGACCAGAGTGTATCACTAGATTTTGGCTTAAATGTGTCATTTATCTTGTTAGACATTATGAATATTGTTTTGTTTTTCTTCAGCCTGTACTTATAGTTTATAAGCATTGTGTCTACCTGTCAATCAGAGCTTGTGACAGCACATAAGAGAAATACCATTTTACGTATGATCATATTAAGTGATAGCTGAAACAGCAGGCTATCTCTATCCCCTCTTTATGTGCATTATACACTCTCTTTAGAATAGATCCATTGTAAGAGAAGAGTTACATAAACTGTATATTACTGGCAATGTAGCTGTAGACTGTACACTGAAAACGCAGCCTAGAACACATTACCAATGTTTTGCTATCACTGGTACAGCCTATACGGGACCATTTTACTTGGAGTGACATCCTCACAGTCTCGCAGGAATGAGTCATCTATCAGGAGTGGGCAACGTGTGATAAATGAGCAAACATTGAGCAGACCGAGAAAGCAGATTATTCATGCTCTCCAAGAGACATATTTCATGCATGCTTCAATCTCCCATACAGCTCCAAACATAATTTGCCACTAAATAAAAAAACGTTCACCCTCCCTTACCCTCCCTTTCCCCCTTCCTTTACCTATGAAATTGCCTTTTTGTGTCTCTTATCTCTATATTGTGTCTCTTACCTCCATATTGTGTCTCTTCCCCCTTTGTGTCTTTTACCCCCACTTGTCTCTTACTCCCACATATGTGTCTCTTACCCACTGTGTTTCTTATCCCCTATACCTGTTAACCCCCTTTATGCCCTTCTTACCAATTCTTTTGCCCCTTTTTTGTCTCGTACAACGCTTGCATCTCCTATTCCCTCCTTTGTTTTTCTTACCTCGGTATTTCTGGAGAAGCTTTGGGCATTATGTCCCCTAGGGCCTGTGCTCTTTAAGGCAGCCACTCATACCATCTTTTGGTAGCGCCAGGCTTGCCCTTCAGTTAGACTGTACACAATAACTGTTTTTAAATAAGTTATTGAGGAAGTTATTAATTGAAACTAAATGCTATATTTAGAAAGCTTTACCAGAGCAAGGCGAATGTAAGCCATCAGTAATTAACAAACTAATGAGATAGTAATAAAATCTGCTCAAACAAGGCAGCAGAACATATAGTAAAAAAAGAACTATAGTGTGGAACGTGACAAAGGGCATCTTGTGCAAACGAAGTTATGAGGCTTGTTGACTCTGCATGATATGAAAAGTTAAACACGATAAAAAGAGAGAAAGGAAAAGGCAGGAGAGAAACAGATAAGAACTAAAAATAAAATGCAACATCTGTTGGGTTGAGAGGACAGTCCATCCATGTAGAGCAAAATACAGGGGAAGAGGAAGGGCTTTGTACAATATAGAAGTGCCATAATGTATGGTCTCCATGGATAGTGTCCTCCTGGGCCAGGATTCCTGGTCATTGTTTCCCCACTTTTATTTTTTTCCCAGCTTTTTAAATTTACTGCCTCCTCTATTAATATCTTTTAAATTTTTCTTTGCCATTTCTATTATTTTAGCCAACATAGATCCTAATTGTCAAATAATACTATACCCCATCACACAGAACAGGTTGAAATAGAAAATACAGTACTGGGCATAATGCTAGTTTTAAGAGTGGCCGGGCTAGTGCAAAAATGTAGGAAAAATCAGGCAAAAGAGATATTCAGAGTCAATAGAACGAGCCAAGAAGTCAGAAATACAGAAAAAAAACATGCTGCTCAGGAAACACAATGAAAACCACGACAGGGCAAGAATACCAAGCCAAAAACACTATTCAAACAGTTATGTGCATTTAATTGGTCCACATCACCTGTGCAACCTCAGAAAGTAGGATAATGATGTTGCAGGTATGACGTGGGCTGGTTGGAACCGGAAGTGCTGTGGTGCACCCAGGGTGCATTTTCCTGCCCCCCCTTTTACCCTCTTTAGTGTATTTTATCCCTCCTTTAGTATGTCTTACACCCTCTTGTGTGTCTCTTATAACCCCTCTTGTGTATCTCTGTCTTTCCCTAGCCCCTTTGTGTGTCTCCCCCCCCCCATTCTTTTTGCGTGTCTCTTTCTTCCCCCCCTCCCACCCCAGCCCCTTTCTGTGGCGCTCTCCCCTCAGCACATTGGGGGGGGGCATGGGGCTGAGAGGGGGGACGGGGGCTGAGTAAGGGGACAGGGGCTAAGGAGGGGGACAGGGGCTGTGGAAGGGAGACAAGGGCTGAGTAAGGGGACAGGGGATAAGGAGGGGGACAGGGGCTAAGGAGGGGGACAGGGGTTGAGGAAGAGGGACAGGGACTGAGGAAGGAGGATAGGGGCTGAGGAAGGGGGACAGGGGCTGAGGAAGAGGGACAGGGGCTGAGTAGGGGGACAGAGGATGAGTAAGGGGACAGGGGCTGAGGAAAAGGGATAATAAAAAGTGTATCCCACCCCTCTCTGAGACTTACTTTGTGCCAGGAGGGGTGGAACAGGATCTGGAGTCTACGTACAGCAGTCAGTGAAGTCGGCCTCTCCTGATGATGTCAGGAGGAGGTGGCGTGACTTCCTCTGCTCTTCTTCCAGACTTCCCAGTGGTCCTGTGAGAAGAGCAGAAGAAGTCACGCCCCCTCCTCCTGACATCATCAGGAGAGGCCGGCCAACTCCCCTGGCTACAGGCTGCAGGGAGACAGGTAATTAGAAAAACCCTAGTCCCCAGCCAGAGGTAGGGGATTCGGATTTTTGCGCCCCCCTGCTCTGGCGCACAAAGGCGGCTGCCTATACACAACAATTTTTTGTGTATAGAACATGCCCCTGCAATTTCACTGCTCAATTCTCTGCCGTTTAGCAGTTGAATCACTTTGTTTATGCAGCCCTAGCCACACCTCCCTGCATGTG